GTAAGGCAGGATGTCAAAGCAGAGGAAACAGAGGAACAAACTTTATGTCACAGAGAAGAAGTGGAGGAGTGAATGAAAGAAGAGTCCCCAGTATCTTCTTCAATGGCACAACCCCAGTAGTCTAACTTTCTCATGTAAGCCCTACCTCTTAAAGGTTCTATGGTGTCCAGTAGCACCATGGGTTAGAGGATGAATCTTCATCACGTAGACAACTGCAGGGTATTTAAGGCCCAAACTATATTATTGAACTCACTAGAAGTAAGCCACCAAGTAATGTCCAAACCCTATTCAAGTGCATAAATGTCAATCTTCTAGGTTCTTTTTTCTGTCTATTTGTGATAGAGGGAAGCAGTGCTGTTCTTCTATTTGAAGAAAAATAATGTCACAGAGAAAATATTGTAAATTGATGACATTTTAGTCCTAAAATTTACATGGATGCTGCCATCCTTTGAAGAAGGAAGAGAGATTTTTTTAATATGGGTATGACTTTTCTATAGAATAATATTATGTTGCCACCTGATCCAGAAAAGGAAGAGAATTCAACAACAGATGTGACCGTCCTTGATGTCAAAATTCTGTCAGATTCTAATAAGCTGTACCAAAACATTCTTAGAAAATAATTAATGAAATATATTATAAAATACTCCATTTATACTATAGTATTGAACTAGTTATACTCAGAAAAATGTTAGTAGTATCAAAAGTTGGGATGAAAACATTTTTAAAGATAAAATTACAAAGATGGTCTCTAGTGTCCTTCAGAATATTGCCAAGTTGCAGATAGCACAATTATTGCAAAATTTTAAATGCACATTAGTGAAGGAATAAAAACATCAGGTGACTTGGTTATGAACTATAATTGTGAGGATGAACAGAAGACCTAGCAGGTGAACAGAAGACACTGTACACAACTCAGACTTTAAAAAAATGAGTATCATGAACATCTCAAATAATTTCTATTCTGATCATGAGCCCTTTTAAAACGAAACTTGTTTATACATTTCTGTCTTGAGGGAACATCTACGGACACTCAGGAAATAAGTAAAAAGTACATTTCAAGGCCCCAAAAAGTATGTGCCTATCTAGGCTCTTTTCCGTGGACTGCTGGAGAAGACATGGGATAGGAGCTAAGAGCAAACCCCGTCACCCTGTCTTCAGTGTTTTGTGTTCCAGAAAACACACACACACACACACACACACGCACACGCACACGCACACGCACACGCACACGCACACGCACACGCACACGCACATGCACTATTCAGGAGCAGAGTAGAAAAACTGAATGGGGTCTTTCTCTCCCATCAGCAGAGACTTGCCAGCTTTAGGGACTTAACTGCTTTAGCATGGGTCTTGATTATTTCATTTGTTAAACAGGGAATATATGAGGGTAGTTTGAAGATTTCAACGTGCTAACACAAAAACAAGGGCTATGTAATCCTCTCATTATTTTGTTCATCAGAAGCCACCTAAGATCTACTTGCCAGTTTTACCAGCTTCTGAATTTATCTACGGTGCTATTCGTGAATATAAGCACACTTGAGTGTGCTCAACTAGTTCTGATTAACTTTCACAGAAGCTCTTTCGATGGTATTGTTTCAAGGTCTTTCTTCTAGACCTTATTGGGTACTTCATGACCTTTTCTTATATCTAGGACATAAATATATCCTTTCTTCCTTATTTATATTTTAGATAATAGCTCCTGTTCCATTGCTTCATCTTTTATATAATATTTCAGTAACAAATATAATACGGGCAACACTTGGTCTGTCTTAATCTTTGAATTATTTTTGCTGTATGTGAGACAACCTTTATTTCTCTCTTATAGAGCATCTACTGCTATTTCAGGGCATTTGGGTTGCATTAACTTAAGTGATCGTGCTTGTACAATACAGCTTTGGGGATTTTGTATTTTATTTCTTTCCTGTGTTTTAACCTCTAGTCAGACCATCAGATTAATGTTTTTGATATGTGTTAATTTCCTTTTAATTGTTTGTGCTCATGATAATCTCCTATAATGTTGCCATGGTTGGAAGGGTGATGCTAATAAAAATCAAGAATGTCTAGCCAAGTAGCTCCTAAAATGGACATTTTCTGAGAAGGGAGAATAAGTCTTTATTGAGGGCGTGGCCACTGGTAATTTTCCCTCAAGTGGATTGTCTCACACCTTAGAAATATGGGTAGTAGTAACTAGATTTAGTGGGCCATGAAAAACAGGACATAGTTTTAAGAAATGAGGTATGTTGGAAAATACAGGGAGAATTGAAGGTGATAATAAGGTGTATATATATTTCATTGTATGCATGCATGAAATTCTCAAAATAAAGAAAAATATCAGTCTTGCTTATGAATGGTAGATCAAAACACATCCAAAACCAAATATACAATGTCTTATGTGTAATCAAGTCTCTGTGTTTCTCAAGTGCTAGAGCCCTATGGTTCAGTAGAAATGGCCAACCTAAAGGGGTTCGGCAGCACTCAGTCAGAAGCCAAACCTGGGGTAGATAGGCTCTTGGCATACACCTCTCTCCTTTGTCTTGTGAGGCATGCAGAGAGGATCCAAGAAATTCTAGTGATTCCTTAGCCTAGAGTTGGATTGTAACTGACTCTTCTGTAAGTATCCTAGTGTCCAGGTATCCCACGTTCTGAGGTCATCAAAGAACTCAGTCACCAGGGAGGGACACTGTTGGATAAGGTCAGTCACTCATGTGGGGATGTGTATCCCAGGGTCCACAGAAAAGGTGCCTGAGTCATATAAGCATTCATTCCAGACACTGACCAGATGCTTGAGGATACAGAAATTCAGAGGCAAGTGAGCATGACTTGGGTGCACACATGAAGTCTAAGCCTCCCCTCTGTGTCAAACATTTGTCCCTCAAATATGCCAGAGTTTCTATAACCTCTGTGCTGTACCATAACAATAAACAAACACTAATATTTTGGAATATCTTCAGTGTTTATATTTGCAATCAAATCTATCACTTAAACTGGAAATTTAACAAGGGGAAGTTTTACTTCCATTCATATGCCTTTCTGTTGATTAATCTGTCTATTATTGTCGATATTGACATGAACTTACAATAAGAATGCTGTATACTGCTTTATGAGTTCTGTTGTTTGTACAGTGTTTAGAATGTTAGGATCACTTCTCTCATGGTTTTCTAGAGAAAATTTTATGCGCAAGAACAGAGTCCACACAGACAGCACAACAAGAGAAAATGAATTAGTTCAGCAAAGAGTGAAGGTTTTCCATTAGACATGAATGTCTTCAGGGATTTACTATTTAGATGTAACATCTAATTTTAAATTTTAGAACCTGAAATTCTATCATCTGTCTGTCTGTCTGTCTGTCTGTCTGTCTGCCTGTCTGTATATGTCTGTCTACCTATCTATCCTTATTTATTCATAATAATGATGATAGATAGATGATTCATCCATCCACACATATATACATCCATCTAATTTGTCTATCATCTGTCTGCTCACTTGCTCTCTCTCTCTCTCTTTCTCTCTCTCTCTCTGTCTTTGTATCATCTTTTCATCTACCTGTCATTTATCCATTCATCCACCCACCCAGCCACCTATCCATCCATCCATCTATCCATCTAAACATCCATCCAATCTGTCCACTATCTCACTATCTGTCTGTCCTATCTATCTATCTATCTATCTATCTATCTATCTATCTATCTATCTATCTATCCATCCACTCATCCATCTATACAACTTACCTATAGAAGATTTCTCATGGTCTAACGTGAGCTCAGGTTCACTAACATGTTTTATTAGCAACAGTAAAATAGCTTTACCCCTATGAGGGAGAAGAAACCTATTTGCAAATCCTAGTATGGAAATCCTCCTTCCTTGGCATAAGAACTGATACAGTACCTCATAACCCTTTTCTTGTCCCCAAAGTCCCATTGGTTCTCTGGAGTCATTCAGGTTATATATTTCACAAAACAAGCTTTACAGCAGCATAAAAGACATTTCTTAGTCTCAGGAAACAAGAGGTGGAAGTATCAGAAAACCAATAGCAAAAGCCACTGAGAAAGAGTGCCGAGTCAGCACTTCCCATGCTGAGTTTCTCTACCCAGCATTTACCACCACATCTCATCCAGCTTGTGGCCAGCACTGGGAAGGTGAGTGAGGTGAGCTCCCAGTCAGACTCAGTGCTCAGCCACCCTGACAGAAAAGGCAGGGTATACAACAATGGGCCTTTTGAAAAGAGTCTGCACACATGAATTTTTATTTGGCAGTTTAAAGTGCTAAAAGAAATATGACCTGCTAAGGCAGAAGAAAAACAAAACCATAAGTGGTCTTTTGTTCCCTCTGATGTGTTACCAATTCACTTTGACAATGGTGCCAATTTCTCTGTCACCACATAGTATCATGTCCACATTGTATTCTGTGTTCCTGGGAGCCCAGCACAAGAAAATCATTAATATGACCAAACGGAGTGACCAAAATCATCTAGGCACAAGATTTTGTCATAGCTCTGTACTTAGAACTAGATGATTCTTTAGTCAGTTTATTACATATGTGAATGCTTAATTCAAATACATTAAATTTCCACCATGCCCTCCACATTCTTGTTAACATGAGCCACTTGCATGATTCATGCCCTCTAACTTCAGAGCTACAGAAACATGGACAAATGTCCACTATTCAAGGAGCATTTGATGTTTATAAAACATACAGTGTCTGCAGAGTTGACATTTAAATAGGAACTGGTGTTTGAGAACATCAAAACCATAAAGAATACTTGATGCCTTCCCGTTTTATGTCCATACAACATGCAAGTTCTGCCAATCATAAAGATAGTATACAAAATGCCCAGTGTTGGCAGTGGATCAAGTATGAGCACAGCTCCTGATGTGTTAGCATCTATCAAGAGTGTTTAGCATCTAGTGTGCCGGGAGCATCTTGCATATGTAGGACATGTTGGAGGTTTCAAGTCTGTGTTCTTGGCGATGGGTTGTGGGAGTAAGGTGGCTACTTACCACATTGCATCCTGCACAGTCAGGCCCATTTTCACAGGTCCTACGGCGGGCTTGAATGCCACCCCCGCACTGGGCTGTGCACCGTTCCCAAGGTCCCCAGCCTGTCCAGAACACGTGTGGTGGGCAGAGCAAATGTTCATTGCAGTATCTGTAATAAGGAAACCCAGAGGAAAAGAAGACTGTTTAGTGCTCAAGAGGCTACCAACCTTTTCACTTCCCATCCCTGTGCCAGATGTTGAACAGATGAGCATGCTCTGCATGAAGGGCTTTCTGTGTCTGGAGTGCTTGCACCATACAGGGGGCAGATGTGGTGCTGGCCATGCTGAGTGTGAACAGACAATGGGATACGTGGCAGACAGCAAAGAGAATGCCAAACTCACAATGCAGGATGGAACTTCCTGTGCAGCCAAGTAAAGGAGAAACAAGACAGAACAAAACCCTTCAATAGACACCCCAAAACAGGAGCATACAGAAAACAGCTAGGTAGGGAGTTCATCTGCTAGGCATCAACATCAAATGATAACGCAGGTTATGAATTCAAAGTCAGCACAGCTTCAATTGAAGTTTTTTATCTTTCAGTCCAATAAGTCAACAATCTTCTGAAGACAAAGACTTTAAGCATAAGATTTGCCTGAAGGCCCGTGACCCTTACTACTTAGTGATGTCTTTAAGTTTTCTTTAAGGCTCTCAGAACATCTTCAAGTGATTTCCCAGTTAAAAGACCACAAATTACCAAATATCCGATTATTATAGTCTTACAAATGTTAGAATTATTTTATAGTCGTTAGTTTCTGCACTTTTATGCATACATCCATTTTTGCCAGTTTTGAAGTTAAATGCTCCAACACTTCTTTCGTCCTATGATGACTTAAGTTTTTCTAAAACCTTTGCAACTGTACATGAAATGGAGTGAAATGAGGGCAATGAACAAACACAAAAGGAAAATGGACTGGCATTCTACAGGGGCTAGAACATACGAAAGAGGAATGTATCTGTGAAGGTAGCCAAATTTAATGATACCTTTGCTGATTTATGGGACCTTGGTGATTTAAATCCATTTGTCCACTTACCAAATCTAGACTTAGCCCCTAGGGAGTATCAGATTATAAGATTATCGATAACGACTGGATTTTGCAGAGCGCTATGCAGAGGGATTGTTGCATAGGTGCTCACAGCCTCAGATGAATAGAGAAAACAGACACACTCTCCAAATGTGCGGGGTGTAGAATACCATCATGATTAACCGCTACTTTTATCATTCACTGGACACCGAAACTGCACTTGATACTCCAATTGGATGCATTCTGGGGTAGAAATGGAGAGTACACGGTAACCAGAAAGTGAGAAAGGAGTTGTGTGATTCCTTGACAGATACCCTTGTAAGGTCCAGTTGTTTTCCATCAAATAGATGGAGCCCTGATGGAGAACAAGACACTAGGAAGGAGCACAAAGTGTAAAGAGAAAAGGCCAAGTTGAAAGACAATGGTGGTTTAAGGGATAGAGAGTAGCTACCTGCTGGGGTTTTGGATGATAATTAAGGGCTGGAAGGGAGACTGGAGCAAGAGAGGTAACACTGTTGAGAGGACATAAGGACGGGACATGAGAGTGAATGGTCCATCTTTGCCAAATAGTAGAAAACCAAGAAACACCTCATAGAACTCTACACGTGAACTAGCACCGTCAGAGGCCAAAGACTCTCTCACAGCTGGTGCCTCATCCCACTGGTGGCTGAAGCTGAGACGCTCTCTCAGCTCACTCTGGAGTCTGAACCTCAGGGGCAGTCAAAGTCAGGAAGAGCCAGTGGAGTAAACATTAGCCAGTGGTGTCTGACTGCGACAATGAAAGTGAGAAACACTATAGGTCAGATAAACAGGATGGTGCTAGAGAGCTGAGGTAGATGAGAACTGGATGGCAGTGGGCGTGGTAGAAAGATCCTAAAGCAAGTGTGTGAAGCATGAGCAGTGGAGTCCAGAGACCCCACCTCACTTCCAGGGAGAGGCAGTGGGCAACGTCGTGGCTGAAGGAGTCTCTCCATACTTTAGTACCACCCAAGAAAGCAAGTTAGCATCCGAAAACTTGGATATACTGTCCCTGTGCAGTTGTCATTCTCTGTGTTTTCAGTGTTTACCATTAGGAAAATATGTGGTATTGCTAAAAAGACAGCAGCACATACTCCTAAACGCACAGGCTCTCAGGGTCAATGCCACTGGACACTCTATGTCCTCACCTGGAGGCGGGACCTTCTAAAGAGGAGAGAGAGAGAGAGAGAGAGAGAGAGAGAGAGAGAGAGAGAGACTCAAGACAGAGAAACACAGAGATACAAAGAGAGACAGAAAGAGACAGAGATACAAACACAGAGACACAGAGAAAGACACAGAAACAGAGACATTGCCAGGTATAAATTTGGGTTTTAAAAAAAGGTAAGTATAGAGTTTTCTGTAGCAAGTCTCTGTGGAAGTCTGGAGTTACTGTAAGTAAACACTCATGCATATGTAGGTGTTTGGAGCGTTCCAGGAAGAAGCTGCTATTTATTTTAAGAACAGGTTGAAGGGAGTCAAGAAAACTCAGAATTCAGAACAATTCACATTTAATTCAAAATATCTGCATGTAGCTCACAAGAGGGAGAACAAGAGGAAAAGGGCACCTCGAATTTAGAAGCTGACTCACTTGTATTTTAAATGTGACGGTTCTTTATACTGCTTTTCCCTAGTTTCAATTTTCAATTAACAAGGGTACTCAAAGGCACACGCACAAATGTACACACACAGACACACAGACACACAGACACACAGACACACAGACACACACACACACACACACACACACACACACACACACACACACAGAGCAGAGAAGGCAAAGGAAATCCTACTAAAAATGCCTATAAAACCCTTGACTTTTAATGAAGAGCAGAGCAGCTGTGCTACCACATCCCCAGAGCAAACTAAATCAGCGTGCACAAATACTTCCTTGTATTCGCCTACAGCAGGCCACCTCGGAGAATGCTCAACATGTTATTACAGTTAAAAATCTCCTGCAAGGCTACCTGTGCATGGAGCGCTGGATTTTGAACCAGTGTTAATCAATCATCCCTGGGGACTTAAGGCCACCAACAACCCACACCTCCTTTTCTTTCTCGCTCTACGGTTCTCCTGCGAAACAAGCTACACGAAGATTAGCAGAGGTGAGACCCTGTAGCGGGAATGGTCAGAGGGAAACAGAAATGTCTAGGCTATCTCTTTATGCAGAATTCCAACATAGAGCGGTTAGCTAGCATCTGGACCCTGCCAAGGCCCTCAGTCTGGATTCTCTGCAATGATGAGAAGAGTGTTTTCTTTCTGAGTACCCTGGGCTAACCCATGCTTCTACAGGCAGCCTCCTTAGTGAACTGCACAAGCAGCAGAGAGATGGAAAACAGTGAGTGGGATATCTCAGGCTGCTTAGATTGTTATTAATTATAGATAAACATTTGTCCAATGGGCCAGCATTTGGTTCTCATTTCACCAGTCTGCTGTCTTATAAAAACAATGGGCTGATGTCTTTAACACGTTACTGTCTCTATTGGGTTTCATTACTGTTCTATTGGGTCTGAAATCACTGAGAGTCACAGACACATTTTATGATGCATTAAAAATTAAGGTTTTAATTTTTCTCACAACTGCTGTTATTTTCCATTTAAAAGCTAACTAATGGCCTAGCATTGTCTCCCCATAAATCATCGATTTTTTTCCATAAACCCACTTTTGCTAAAAATTATTGTATTCTGCAATCGTATTGAGGCTACAGTTACAGCACCGACTCTGCCTCCTCCTCATAGTTCCTTCTAATCTGGTTGAGTCTATACTGGTTCCTCATGACAATCTGCTAGCCCAAACTAACTGAAGCCTATGGAGAAACAGTTTTTCTTGATTCACCTTTACTGGTCATCCCTTTAAGGACATTCTGGAAGAATTAAGCCTTTCATGGCACCAGAGAACCGAGCATCCATTAAACACGTCAGCAGGTTTAAGACAGCAGTAACTCTCATATTGGGTATCACTTTAGCTCATCACCGAACAAAAACATTTCCATAAAGGTTAGATGTCATCCGATACATTCTCTTTAGACCCTGAGACCCTTAACTTGATAACATATTGGATAACATATCTCTGACATGAGTCTGTATACTTCATGTTTGATAACTCACAGCTTCACATACTTCCCCTGAATATGGCTAAGGCTTGTCACTTATAGTTATCAGGATGGGGAGATTATGGTTATGTGTGGTTATGTCACATAATATTACAGTAGCTTTATTTCAAAGACACATCTCCCTTTCTAACTTTGACAGTGGCCTCTAATAAAGATGCACCAAGAAACTGGGGTCCTCAGCCTGACAGCCTACTAGACATGTAAGCTACCCACAACAGCACAAACTAGGAAGCAGATTTGTGTCCAGGTGTGCCTCAGAGGACAAAGCCATGGCTTCTTTACTGCAGCCTCCTGATAGCCTGCATCCACAGAAGCAGAGGGGTTGTGTCCAGTCTGGGGACTCACAGAAACACAAAGAGTTTTATACAGTTACATTTTTAGTTGAAGCGCGGTCTAAAGCAGACCAGGTACCATGGAGCACAGTGCTAAGGGGTACCCAAACAACAACAAAAAATGCATTGAAAATTGCTCTGAGACCCAGAAGTAGGTGGAAGTGGGAATTTTAAGAAGCAGAAGTAAAGTCTAAATTACTATATATTGAATACTAGCAGTTTAGACTTTGTGGAACCTGACAGAGAAGGTTTAGAAGGAAATAGAATGCAGAACTACAACAGAAAAGACGGCTCAGTTAGAAATCCGACTGACAAGGGGAGTAGAGATGTCTTCTGACGAGACACAGCACAGGAGAGGGTGCTCAGCACCATGTAGATGCTAGGAGAACTCAAATCTAAAGCACTGTGAGAAACCAATTCTTCACATCCAGTAGGATGGCTCCAAACCCAACCCGGCAATAATAAACACCGGCAGGAATGTGGGGAAGCCGGAAGTCTATGCTTTCTGGTGGGAATGGACTACGGTGAAGTCACAGTGAGCAGTAGCCTGGCATCCCTCTAAAGGAGAACATACAAGCAGCATTTCCTCTCATAGTGACTTATACAAAATAATTGGAACAGGAAATTCTAGCACTGGTTAAATAGGCAAGGGGAAGAGATGACCTGTGTCCCCCGATTGGAAACTGAATAATCAAAAGATGTAGTCAGACAAGTGACGACCGCCATGCATCCAGAAGGAAACGCAGTTCTGATAGAAGCTGTGATACTAATGGAGCTTTAAAACATTATGCTGAGTAAAGCAAACACGACACAAAGGGACGGGCATTAAAGCTTTCCAATGATATGAGATCCACAGAATATGTAAATTAACAGGCAGAGTAGTCGACAGGGCTTCCAGGGACCTGGAGAATGATGGTATGGGATAACATTACTTAGTAGTGATGACAAAGTGTTAGAAATGAGGAGTTGTGATTTTTGCACAAAAAATGTGAGTTTAATTAATGCCAATGAACTCTGCACTTAAAATGGTTAAGTGGCTAATAAATGTTGTTTATATTTTAACATAGTGAAAATACAAAAATGAGACGGATTTTCTTAAAATAAAGAGCTAGTGTAATGTTGTTCTAGAATTCGACAAACCTAAAATTGTTCTATATAGTGATATGAGAAGTAACACAAAGATGTGTGAAGGAAGTCACACATATATGGACATTTCAGAGCGAAGTGTTAAAGTGCTACTGTTTTCCTGTAAGTCATGGTACAGAAAGAGAAAAAAAAAAGGAGTGGATTATTAAAAGATCAAGGTTCAGGTGTCACGTGGATCAGACTTTGCTGATAGCAAAAAAAATAAAAATAAAAAAAATAAAAAAATAAAAAAATAAAAAAATTAAAGTTAAGAATTAGCTCCCTAGTACTTGAGCTTGTGTCTTAGTTACTGTTCTGATGCTGTGAAGAGACATCAGGACCAAGGCAACTCACAGAAGAAGGTCCTTTATTGTGGCTTGCTTACAGATTCAGAGGTTCAGTCTATTCTCATCATGGTTGAGGCACAGAGGCATTGTATAGTAGCTCAGAGTCGCAGTCTGATGCATAGGCAGAAAGAGAGATGGAGGAGGGATATTGGGCCCAACATGGGCTTTTAAAACCTCAAAGCTCACTCCCAGTAACAGAATTCCTCCAACAAAGCCATAACTCCTAATCCTTCTAATTCGTTCAGAGGTCTACTCCTTAGTGACTAAGCACTCAAATATAGGACCTCCCAGGGATCTTCCTTATGCAAACCATCATACACTGCCAGGGAAAGCCGAGGCATGCCTGTTTAAATCCCTGACGTAACCTCAGCAAGATCGAAGATTGAGGGTAGACTGTGACAATGCATAGAGTCTGCTAGAATCTAGGAGCAAGAGTGTGACTCAGGGACCCTCATAGTCACCCAGAAGGAGCCTAGCAAGCTGCCAGCTGCTGTGTTCTAGTGACCTCAGCAGGACTGTGAGTCAGAAAAGGACCGTCTCAGACAGATCTGGGACTGTGCCTTTTGTTTAGAAGAACAAATCCCAAGGAGGTTTACTTAAGTTTTTTTAAAGTTTATCAGAGAGTAATTTCAACAGCGTAGAAGGAGGGGATCATGGGAACTGGTTATGAAATGCTATTGGGGACATTCTACTGGCAGGAATGTACAAGTTTTACCAGGTCTGGGAAAACTTTTCAGCTGCAAACATCTGCTGACTTTATGACAAAAGGAAGAGACTTTAGGGAGGTGAGCTAAGGGCACACAAGGCTGGTCCATGGACCACGGAGCAGGATGCCCACATCATAAGTAACTTCCAACACTCACCTGGCTACACTCCAGGATTCCTTTGAAGAAAAGATTGAAGTGACTCCCATATATAATTTTTGTTTTCTAAGAAGGAATGGTCATAGCTGTCGTTTGTTGCTCACCACCGGTGCTGTATAGTGTGAATGTTGACGATGTCCAACTCCCCTTTTTGGATTGAAATTGACAGACCAAGAAGTACTACTGCCACAGAGTCTCAGACATATCTTTCTTAGATGGTGGCACTTTTGAGCTTTGGGGTGGTATAATTTAATGGTGTTTGACATTGGGGATGCTACAAATAGATGGAAGGCATTCTGCAGATGGTCGGGTATGAGTGATTTGGGGACAGAGACTTGTCTACGGTAGGCAGAATCCAAAGCGATGCCAATGAGACTTGTTCCACCACACTACAAGCCCCTTCTCTGCAGTGTGGGCAAGGTCCATGATTTCCTTCTTACTGAGCCACCATGGCTGGATGAGTCCTGTGAATATGGTAATTTGTTCATAAGTTCTGTTTGTTTGGAAATGGAGGCAACAGTACGGAGGCTCAGTTGTTAAGGGCTTGGGGCAGTATGTGGCTGACAACTCGGAATCTCTGTCATGAGGTTCCACTGAGAGAATGGAGCAGCAATTGCATGTTGTTTTTGTTTTAGTTGATGGAGCCATAGTGACAGAGCAGTAGAAAACTAACCCAACTGCGTTTTGATACTTGTACCAAGGTCTGCTTTTTCCCACCTTATGGATGATCTTTGGGGATTTGATGTCTCTACTAAGTTCTTGCTCCTCAAGTAATTTGTTCCAAGAAATATTAAAAAAAGAAATCATATTTATACATCCTATAGCACATGCAAGAAAAAAAAAGTGACGTGAAAATTCCCAGGAGACTGTACTTGAGGCTAAGTCCCTCCTAGATTAGGTCAGACATTGAAAACCATTTTGCAGAAATCATTAACTATATTGCTGGCACTAGTTGAACTTGGGGAGAGAATCAATTCTTTCACTTGCCACCATTCTAGGCTTCTTTGAATTTAAAGCTATTTACATATCACAAAATTTTATTGATTATTTCATATGCCTGATCCTAGAATTGTGCACAACCCCTTCCTTAATCCAATATCAAATATCACCACTGCCAGAATCAGGACCGGTTGTTTCTTTGGCGTGTTGATATCCCCATCTAACATGGCAAGAAATCTAAGAAATGTTTGCTTACATAGACCGTAGCATACCAAGTAATTTTTTTGAAATATCTGTTAGTTCTTTAGAAGCATATTCAATAGAGATGCATCAGTTTATGAAAACCATACAAATCCCACATTCTTACCATCCATCTCATTATTTGAAGTAAAATTTTCCTCTATTAAGCAATCCCTTCTCTAACCCCCTAAAACATGTCTCCCATAAATGAAAAACATGTTAGGTGTAAGACACCCAAACACACTAACCAATGTTTATAAAATCTGTGAAAGTACGGCTTTATGAATGGTTAAGTGTAGAGACAGAACACAGTGCATCTGGCTACAGAGGCCTTGTTCTTCCTGTGTCTGTGCAATACCTGGACTCAGAGAAGTGTTTGCACAGATGGAAGTGATTTTGCTTAAGTAGGGTGTTGGAAAATACAGTAAGAAGAGTCCTCACTAGTCAGCTTTCTCACCTATCAGCGGGTGTTAGATGGAACACTACAGACAGCTTGGACAGGGCTGTCTCAGGGGAACTCTTCAGAAATGACAAACCCTGTCTGTGTGACAGCATCCTTCCTTTCTTTCTTAGTCAAAAGGAACAGAATAGTCACTGGTAAGTAAGAAGCTGGATGGGTGAAGAAGAGAAATGGTCTTCTGAGTTGCTATCAAGATATAAATACCCACTGTACAACTATGTAGAAATCAGGAACCCTGCTCTTTGTTTATTAAAGTATATGGCCACAGACAGACATGGTATTTTTTATGAGACTCCCTGAACCTGTGATATTATACAGGGGTCTCTATTTCTTCATTAAAAGCACTAGAAGCCTTTCCAGTAGATGGCGTGTGTGTGTGTGTGTGTGTGTGTGTGTGTGTGTGTGTGTCCTAAAAATACTGTGAACTTCATCTTCTGCTTTTCACTCAGAATTGTGACAGAGTAGAATATGCATTCAGTAGGCAAGGGAGAGAAAAGCGAACAAAGAATAGATTTTGGAGTCAATGCAAAATGGATAATTCTATAACAAAAACAATTAAAACAAAAACACCAAGTTGGATCCAAGTCCTAGATGGGATGTCCAGACAGAGAACTGAACCTTGAAAGTCTTCATGGAAACCAGCTTGTACTGAGGCTGGTATCGAAGCTCATGGGGGTTTTTGTTAGCAGGGTGCACAGACAAAGCCTCCCCTGAGCTTTCTCTCACTTGCTTGCTCCCCCCAACCCCCAGCCTAATGGGAACTTCTTCATCAGACCTGTTCTTTTCACCAGGACCTGCTGGGATTTGCTGTCTCTGAGGCAGGCAAACTGAAATAACTCAGCAACTTTTCTGAGACAGGCTCACTTTCTGGGTTCACAGAAGCCCAGCACACAGGTGCCCTTGATTCCTGAGCAATCTCAAGTGACTTGAGATTAGAGTCCCAGGTCAAACATGCAGGGAAACTGGACCAGAATGAGACTCTTCATGGGAATCTTAGATCAAAATCAAAAGATGTCAGAAGAATAAGATGCGGGTTAACTTAGTGGAGAGTAATGCCATAGATAAACTAAGCTAGATCCCAAAATGCAATTGGCCCCAGTGGAACGGCAGGAAGTACGCAGATGCTGATGCAGGAACAAGGCTAGAACCTACCTTTCCTCCCTGTTCTGACCCACGCACACGCGGCCGCCATGCCTGGGCGTGGGGTTGCTGCAGGAGCGCTGCCGCACCTGGAAGCCGATGCCACAGGTAGTGCTACAGGGAGACCAGGAGGTCCAGGGAGTCCAGCCTCCATTCCTGCAGGAGAGGAAGTGATTCAGTACCTCAGTTGAGCCAGCTCAGTCAAGCCCCATCCGTATCTATTGCCAATGTCTTTGTACCAGGGGTGAACCCTTTGGTTGTGTGGCCTCCGGGAGGAGGGAACCTTCTTGGAACAGAGCACACTGGTAACCTCTGTGACTGTGAGTTCCCTTACAGAGGGCATTTGATTTGAAAGCTCAAACCATCCCAAATGTACTTACTATGTTTGAACCAGTTAAGGAGCTTTGGTTATTAAAACGTCAGCCTACTAGAATGGTATTTTACTGCACGGTATTAGAAGTGAATCCTTAACCTATAAAATTTCCAATTTTACTTGACTCCTGATACATCTATTACAACATCTGAACAGTGCCCCTGAGATAGAAGAAACACCCGAAGTCACATATAGCACATTCTGTTACATCTAAAAGCAGTGTGCATGCACAACCCTTTAGAACGCCTTCGTGTTGAGAACGAGTGGAGCTTTCTTCAATTATTTCAAGCCAATCTTGTTAGAAAATGAAGGGGGAGTATTTAATTCAGAATCACACAAAGCCGTATGCAACATCCTATTGTATATATAGAATGATATAGATATTTAAGAATAAAAGAAAGACAAGATGACTCTGTTTCACCAGAGTCATTCACAAAATAGACTGTTATTGACACACATTTTTCAGTAGTGTAATTTTTTTTTATAAAGTGACAATATATTCAGAGTCTTTGTAGTTTAAATCTCCCTTAGACATTTTCCTGGGCTATTAAAAATAAGTGGTAGGTGTTTCATTACTTGGGGCATTAGAACATTCATCGTAGAGCTTGGTCTGAGCTCCTATGGATATTGTGTGGGGAACTTCTTTTTGTTCTTAAAAGATTCATTTGTTTTTATGTTTTGTCTGCATATACAACTCTTCACCAGAAGAGGGCATCAGATCCCATGGGACTACAATTATAGACAGCTGTGAACCATCTGCTGCGGGTGCTGGGAATTAAATTCAGGACCTCTGGAAGAGCAGCCAGTGCTCTTAAACTCAGTCTCAGAACCTCTATTTGTTCATCACAGGGCATCCCCATAGGCATCCTGTATTCTCAGCTGCTCTATTCTCATGAGTTTGGGACAAGATCAGTTCACACCAGCCTTCATTTTCCCTTCATACATTCCTTTTAGAACACAAAAGGTAATACTAAAGATATTGGTTTAAATATATAAGTTGATACAATTAACAAATTATGTAATTAAGATGAAGCTTTCCCAGAAGTTTTAAAAACATTTTGCAGTTTCCTAGTTTATCAGCTGAAACCTAAGACTAACGGAAACAAAACAGATATAATTAGTGCATGGTAAATTGTTGATTGTTGATAATTTTATCAAACTGAGACCACCTCCAACTTCATTCATAAGAATAACAAGCCATTTTTATTTCTACCCTTCTACCCACAGCCTTACACATGGCCAAAATAATTCATGGGGTTATTAAAACTTTATGACAAATTTTAATATTCTTTTAAAACTCTTAATTTCTTAAGCTCTTGAAAATATACGTGGTTTTATGATGTATTCTATTTATAATATGAAGAACATGTTATCTGCACAGTCATAGGTAAATAAAAATGTCTAAAACCAGCAGAACTGTAGGAAATCAGAAAATAAGTGAAGCAAGCTTGTCAGTAGCTATCTATTGTATGGACTTGGTTTTGGATACTTCTAGAAGCTGTTGAGAGGCAAAGTAGGGGATAACCGCAGAGCCTCATGGAGTAATCACAGGGAGATTTTGATAGGTGGTTATCTGCTTACACTTCTACAGCATCCCTGAAGCAGGCTGGTGCACTTACAATTTTAACCTGCAATCAGCTGGTCACGCTTGTTTAGAGAGGAAGACTTTCCAACTGGAACAGGAGCTGAAGCCTGAGTGACAGACAACTGAAGCTCAGCACTCCAGTTTTTCAGTGATGAAATAGGTCACTGTCATCTTCAAAGTAAGTCCAGTACCCTACATCGTGTTTTCTGTTTTATTACATAACTTTATCTTTGTGGCCCTCCTTGGCTTCTGTAAACCTTATGTGGTGATAGAACCCACCTGGAAACTGCTACAGATAGAAACCCACTATAAAAACAGCTGATGAGGACAAGGCTTGCCTTTTTGCTCTGCACATCCTGCTCTGCCCACCCTTCCTGCCCTGGGCTCCCACACAATTCAATTACCCCATCTGATCTTCAGCCAGTTGCTTTGTACACAGTTTCCCTCATTGCTTCTGCATCTTAGGCTCGTGAAAACCAGCTACGATTTTAAGAAATGGCCTGTTTGGAATCAAGTGAAGAGAGGGCTTGCAAACTGACCCAAGAAGCTCTCTGGGTACATGCTCTACAGGGTAAGCAGGCAGGACAAGCAAGTATAGTTAGAAAAAAACCATGAGGCAACTCAGTTGACAATACCTAGACTGTCCTGGTGCCTAAGGGTCTGAGGTCAGAGAGGTGGGGTATGCTGAGTTCCAGTCTACCACAGCATAGAGAATAGATTCATTCCAGCTAAGGCATCATGCTCTACAAGTAGGAATTATCAGTCACATATTTCAGGAAGATGTTAAGTAATGGATATTCTATCAAAGAAGCCAACTATGTTGAGTGAATTACTAGTATTTTCCTATCCAATGAACTTCTAAAGAGTTTAAATTTACAACTTAGCCTACAGTGTGAATTTTTCCCCACAAATGATGTAATCATGAAGTGATGGGTACTCCCTCTTCTTGCTATCTTCATCTACTAAAGGATTGCTTGTGATAAGAATGGCTGCTCAGATACCTCAATAATCCAAGTTAAGATGAGACTGAACATTAGAGCGATCTGAGGCACACACCTGGAGCAGTTGGTGATCTCCATTCTAGGCCCCTCACACTGCCAGCCACCACACTGAGGAGCTGGGCTGTCACAGGAGCGGGACCGGCAGAGGCAGGATCCCACCGCGGTGCCATCGGTATGTGTACAGGGTGTCCACGGAGACCATGGGCCAAAGCTTCCATCTACGGTGAGATTTCTTGTCTGGAAGACAAATACAAGCATCGGTGTCAGAAAGGGTAAAGTTGAAAAAAAAAGACACAAAACCAAAAGATCTCTCAAGCGGCAATCACAACTCTTTTCAAAATTCTAAGAAAATTAAAGTTGGCAGTGTGTACGAGAAAGAAGATTTCAAAGTCGTGCAGCATACGTCACTGCTAGAGATGATGAGAAAGAGGAAAAGGGGAGGCAAAGAGGCAGAAAGAGGAAGGAATGATGAGCAGAGGGAGGAGGAGAGGAAGTGGAGGAGTAAAGGTTCACGACTCAGCAATGAGGTTTTGGTAGAACTGCCCACAAATATGAGTAACCTAAGGAACAAGAAAAACACGCAGATATACACATCTGATGATGTATGGCTTTATCCACCTCAAAACAACTAAAGCCATGAAAGATTAATCCAGACTGGGCTCATATGTTACCTCCAAGTGACAATGTTTGATGCCAAGCACATCTCAGTTCCCTCTATGAGCAATGAGATCGAGATCGCTAGAGTTCTCAGGCTTACTCTTGCCAACGCTATCCTGTGAGCACCGCTCAGAGTTTGTATGCTGGCCAGGAAGGGCTTGGCATCTGCTTCTGACTATATGACTAAGGGCATCTCAGGGCTGCTGCTAAGGATGGACAACGAGCTTGTGCGGTGCTTGTGTTGAGTTGTAGAGCAGAAAGGAACCTATAAAGCATCTGGAAGGGATGCTTGATGCCAAGGACAGCTTGGTTGATGACAGGGGAATAAATGTGTCAGAGGGTCTTTGGCTCGGCTGTTTCCTGTCAGTGAGAGCCACTGACAGATGCCTTGTGGTCATTGAGTTTGGAAGAAGGAATGCAAAGCAGGGACACACACACACACACACACACACACAGAGAGAGAGAGAGAGAGAGAGAGAGAGAGAGAGAGAGAGGGCACCGAGGGCACAGCATTGGAGACGCCTGCAGGTAACTGCAGACAGAATGCTGAGTGATGGGTCTGAGTGTGGTTGGGACATCAGTTCTTGAACCCTTAAGAGTGAGCAGCTTTCTGACACATGTAATAGAAGATCTCTGGAAAAGAGATACTCATGGGTCAGTGGTTAAATTCCCTGTCCAAGGTCTTTCTTCCAAAAGCAACCAAAGATTACTATAGTGCCAGCCTCTTCAGTTTAATACAAAGGCAGATGAGTCTCAGGCAATGTGATGATGATTTGATGATAACTGTATTTTCTCTCTGCATTCTCTGGCTCCGTACTCTCTCCTCAGCCAGCCAGTATGTAAAAAGCACCAGTTACAGAAGCGGCAGTATTTTTGATCCATGATGTCTCTAAGTACTATGGGGAATGTTTACACATTAATGCGGTTTTCCCTGCCATCCACTGTGACAAATATGGCTCTACAGTGTGCTTCTCTATTCCTTCTCTTTCCCAGTCTACATTAATGGTGTTTATTTTCTGAGGAGGGCAGAACTGAACCCTCTTACCAATCTCTCTTATTTCAATATAAACTGTGTCCACAAGGTGGGCCTGGGCCTGCCCCATTTGAGAGTATGCTAGAATACAAGTGGACAAACAAAGGAACATTTCCCAAAAGAAACTGTCTCCAAGGTCCCTATAAATAATACTTCTGGCCACAGCTCCTACTTGAACCCTCGGTTCCCTGGAAACCACATGCTTGTTACTAAGGAGTAACACACCTTGCATGACAAGATGACCAAGCTTCAGAGTTGACAGACTCTCTTGTTAGATTAGGACAGTTCCTACTTTGAATATTTTTCACATTGATGCTCTGATCGCGTTTTTCCATCTACTCATTACTTAGCTAGGTCCATGTTAATAATCATACACAGACCCTTGCCTGCGACATAAACACTGTTATTCTTGTTTTTAATATAAAAAGCCATGTCTCCTATTCAGACACCAGACATTGATTAAGCATGGCGATTTGCATCATATCCATATACATGGTCCTCACTATCCTGACGATTCATATAGGTCATTGTTGCTTTCTGCAGAAGGTGTTCACTGCCTAGGACATTACCAATAAGAAATCAATACTTCTCCACCACTGTGCCCTCGGTTACTGAACAGGGATAAGATTTTCATGGATTCTACCACATGCCTTCCTAGGGTAGGGAGTCTATCAAGAGAAATGAGAAGTGATAAGAAACATCAGCACACGTGTAAGGTGTGCTGAGGACTACAGAGAATGGCACATCTGTTCTTGTCAAGCAGATAGTCCAAGGCTTCCCTGAGTAACAAACCCATCATCAGGGAAGATGCTGCCTCGATGCTGGTTTCACTGATGAATGAGAGCTACATGCTTCAGGACTTGCGTTCATGTGAGTGTCTCAAAGCAGACTAGATACGGGTGACAAGAAACTGTACTCAGACAAGAAGGTGTCCACAGACCTGGCTAGAGGCATTTTTCTGAGAAGAGGAATATGGAACAGAAACTCTTACTATAGACGTGGTGAAGGTGAGCTACTACTATTGTGGACATTTTCACATTGAAAATCTTGTATAATTTAAAACATCACGGGCAGGTTTATACCATTGGCTGGAGTTGTCCAGGAATGAAACAGATGGCAGATTGAGCTTTTGTGAGCGGATAAACTAGGAAAGAACTATAGAGCTCAGAGCTGCATGGTGCCTGGTGGTGGTGGTAGGGTCTATAGCTACTTTGTGCAAGACAGATAGGTAGGTGTCCAGGCCATCCTACGCAGGCCAACTTCATGTGAAAACAATGTCACAGCTCTTCAGATCTGATGTGGAAATCTAAACAGTGAATCTAAGCAAATGTATAAGTCAAGATAAGTCGAAGAGCTTTGAACAGTAATGTTCAGAGCATACACATTCAGGCAGTTTAACAAATTACCCCAACTACAAAATTTTACATAAAATGACTCTTCCTCAAGGACAGAGTGACATTTCTGTTTATGAGATTCTGAACTAGTCCTGTTGTTGTAGAAGGAAGCAGAAGCCTCTCAAACATTATTTCTAGTTTGGGAAAAAGCAAGCCAACAAACAGACAAGGAAAGGTCACAGAAAGTAATGTAGCTATGGGCATCACACTGAAGAATACGTGAGTGAGTTTGTCATGACCCTGCCAAATAGCAGTTTGTAGGATTATACATGGAGGTGGTGAGACAAGAGCACTAGGGAAAGATCTGGAGACGCTGTGGAATGAAGGAACCCTCCATGCTTCAGCCATCCTAAGTTGGCAGGTGGGAAGGTTGGAAGGACTGGAGTGAGGTGAGAGTCAGAGCTAGACAGCCATTGTCATGCATAGTGTGGGTCACCTCGTCATGGAACCCTGGCAGAAACATAGTCTTGAACTGAAAGTAGGGCGAGGTAAATACATCCTCTGGCTACCTCCAGACACTATGACAATCATCAGCTGAGTCCAGGACGGGTGGTAGGGACAGACTGAACAGTGCTTATCAAGGACAGACAGCCTTGGTAAGTAGAGCCAGTTGAGAAACTGAGTTTCTGGATACAGCTGGCCACTTGTATACATTATATATGTATATATCTACACACACACACATATTATATATATATATATATGTATATATATATATATATATATATGCACACACATATATATACACACACACATGTATGTTTTAAGTTTCTGGGTCCTCTAAATACTGATTAGAACTTTGAAAAGAAGAGATAATTGGAGGAAAATTAGAAGATGTGGGGCAAAGAATATTCCCTTCAAGTTCACCTGCATTGTATGTCTCTCTGAGAATACAAAGGAATTAGGCAGAGCAATGACTTGACTTGGACACATCTGTCTGCATGCTATACAGCAAAATCCAGTGTTATAAGGCAAAGAAGAGATAGTGTCACAATGACGAAGAAAAGAAAATGGAAAAAAAATCACTGACAAGGCTAACCTATGTGTTTCCTTGAAATGAACTGCTTGCTCTGTAGGGAACACGGAATTCTCAGTTTTGTAATCCAAAGAGGCTTGGATAACGCCCGAGTAGGCAAGCATTTATGAAAGTAGCATTCTGAATAGGAGGAGTTTGAGAGTCTTTATATCAATGATTGCCCAGAATTATCCAGGGTAAGTTTGCACTCAAGGCCAAGGGCTAATGGTGTATCCTAGCCTGTCTAAGGCAGTCAGAGTTTGAATATGAATATTCCAAACACTCGCATGTTAGAAATTGGGTTCCTAAATGGAGCACGATTGAGGAGTGAACGGACTATAAGGGCAATCCCATTACTAATGGGTCTAGTTTACCACTCAACGGACTATAAGCAGGTAAGACCCATCAAAGATGCTGCCTCTTCTGTATGCAGCTTCCTCACTGCCAGACAGGTCACAGTTACCTTCTTTCTTGGGAAATGGGGAGGTGTTCCTCAACATGTGACAGCAAATAAAACCCACAGTAGTCCTTTTCATAAACCAGTGGAAGGAGAAGGAGTGCCACTGGGAAGCCACTGGTTGGGACCCCGCACAAAATAAAAGTGTAGCAACTTTGACTCATTTACAAGGATAGAGGGTAGCTTTGATTCTGTCTGGCAGCAAGGGAACTGCAGATAGGAGAGGATGCATTTCCAGTCTTGCAGAGGTTTGTTTGTTATGTTACGTTCTGGAGCCAGAAGAACTTGCAAGCCTCAGGGAAGCACCCAGGCGAACAGGGAATGAACTCTCCATACATCATTCAGCCACAAGCCTGGTTGGATGCTCTATGTCTTAAATTGAAGGTTGGTCTAGAAAACGGGACCAGGAATAATGATGTGCATCCTAGGATTTCAATTTTGAAATTTGGATATTTTAAGATTTTCATAATTTTCCTTGAAATGAGACCTGAAGGAAAGGCGTAAGTGCTGGCCATTGGTACCACGAGCAGATACTTGGCCAACATAGACAAGGTCTGAGTCCTACCTCAGTACTGGGAAAAACGAAATGAAAGAAAGCACTTTAGAATAAACTGTCCAAAGTTCTCTCTGGGTTTCTCCCAAGTGATTTTCTTCTTGAAGCATGAGTAAAACGTGCAAAACACATCAGCAGGGCGTGACAACCATGGGGAAGATTTGATGTGTCACCTCCTTGAATCCTCACCACATCCCAAGTCCTATCCAGCGCAGACATGTTGGTTCAGGAGCCTGGGAAGTGCTCTCAGCTGCCCTTCTGTAATGTGGTTCTCGTATAGCTTTCTCCTGCAAGAGGCTCCTGAGAGTCAGGTGCACCCTACTTTATCTCCCCTGACACTGAGTAAATAGTGAATTTCAAAGGGCTAGCTAAAGGGGATCTATTTTTGTTACTAAAAATAATATTTTCATGTTGAGTTATTCATGCACTAATTCTCTGCTGGCCTGGTGTGTACACACTTTAGTTGTGTCCATGGGTCCCCCAACCCCTCTTTATATATTTCTTATGCTGGCTATTCTTTAGATTTATATATATTTTGTGTGTGTGTGTGTGTGCATGTGAGTGTATGTGTGTGTCCCCATGTAAGGGACCCACACATGTGTGTTTGTGTGTGCACCCACAGAGGGCAGAAGCAGTCATTGGATTATTTAGAAATAAAGTTGCAAGTAGTTGTGAGCAAAGTAGCAAGGCCTTAACCATGGATCCACCCCTCCAGCCGCTCCAACTACTGTTTTTTTTTATTGCTAAATTGAAGTCTTAAATTTTTATCTAGGCATCTTTTCTTCAGAATTACTAGATCTTCCTTCATTTTCAAGGATTTTTATATCTACATGCAGTGACTACACGGAGCAGGATATTGGATAAGCTCCCCAGGAAATTCTGCCTTATGTTATAACATTGATTTAATATCCACCCTAAGCTTATCTCTCCAGAAGAATTATAAGGCAGGACTGTACCTTTGCAGAGGACTAAGATATAGCCTTGTGTAGCCGTTAGCAGTTTAGTGAATAGGGACGATCTGTACTTAGTGTCTGTGACACTTAGGGGACATCCCTTCTAAGGCCCACTTTTCCACATGTGAGGCCCCAGAAATGAATCCCCAGCACAGAAAATGCTGGTGCCTTGATATTGCACATTTTCGGCTTCCAGAACTGTGGGTAAATCACTTCTGGGCTTTATAAAGGACTCAGCATTGGGCATTCTCCTATACATCACAAGCAAAGCAGCTGTAAGTGATACAGTGTATGAAGTTTGAGTGGATCATCCATGCTAGGAACTCACAGGTGCCATGTCACAGACCCTGAGGATTTTAAAGGAAAGATTTTAGTTTTAGTTATTTGTATATCTGTATAGCAGTGTGGAAAGAGGTGCCCATATGGGACAAGGAGTGACATTAAGAAAGCTGTGAGCCTCCGAATATGGGACCCAAACTTGGGTCCTTTGCAAGAGCAGTGCATTTTCTCTAACTGCTGACCCACCTCTCCTGACCTAGCCGTTTAGTGTTTTGGTGAGTTCACGCCTGTGTGTCTGAGGTGACACTTCCTATCATTATGTCTTTAAATGAACTCAATCTAATAAGATCACTTTTACATATACTCTTACATAAGATATGAAATGCCTGCTTTCCTTTAAAAGGCCTCAGCTTATATATATATATATATATATATATATATATATATATATACATATATATGCATATCTATCTATCTATATTTAGTCTACATCTATATCTAATCTATATCCAATCTATCTCTCTGTCTCTATCTATCTATCAATCATCTATCTCTCTATCTCTCTATCACTATC